GTTTTGGAACTGCAGGGATCCATACATATACTCAGGAACCATACATATACTTATCAACACTTAGTTCCAGTTCTAAAGACAGGAGACCCGTTCTGCGCTGAGGAGTGACCTGCAGGCTGCACCTTCATCATGCAGGCCCCAAGGCGCCAGGGTTTGGACTAACCAGGGCCCAGCTCAGCTCTGCCACCTGCCCTTTCTGCCACATCAACACTTATTAACAGTGTACAGGCAGGGAAACAAATGAGAAAAAGAGAAAATCGAAGAGCTTATTCAAAGAGTTAGTCTTTAGTTACTAAAAAAAGGCTGACCTTAAGGCAACCTACAAATGTTTTACTGAGCATAGCTACTAGCTGTAAAAACTCACATAAACTGTGTATGAAGCGTGATCCCTGTCCTTAGGGAGCACCACAATGGAGGGGAGGGAAGTGAACAATCAACCACGATACAGTTAATAAAACACCAGAAGAATGTTAAAGGGAGAGTATGACTGTCAAATGATCATCAGAGGAACAGGTTCGGGTTCAAGACAGCACCAAAAGACTGGTGTGTGAGTGTTCTCCCTATTTACATGCACACTTCCTCTTCGAGGGGGCCAGAGGCCTACAGGGTGAAATCCCTCCAGACAGAACTTCGGTTGGTACAAGGTCAGTGCCATCACTGCCCCACCCACGTGCCAGTGGACAACACGCGTCATGTTGTTCTCTTTTCCTCCTGGACTCCAGTCACACCCCTCTGATGTCAGCCCTCTCAGGACACTCCTCCCCCTCAGGAAGGGCTGCTCCCTCCCAGGGCCCTCGCAGTTACCTCTGGCTTGCTGTCTACCACATCCACCTCCAGGTTGACTTCTGCTTGAAGGATTTTCTGCTTAGCTTGCTCCACTGCCAAACTGAGCTTCTGTATGTAGGACTGAAGCTCTTCTGGGGAGTCCATGTTCAGTTCTATCAGCGCTTTGTGAAACTGATCCATCTGGCCATCCTCGAGAAGTTCCTGAAACCAGAGCAGTCACAATTCATGCTCAAAGACAAACGGTGCAATCACAAGCAGGAAGGAAAGAGAAGTAGCTTCAAGCCACACAGAGAAGTGCAGCAGGAGAGGCCTCCCCTGGCCTGCCCGCTGCAGAGCCGCATCTCCGGCTCCTGTCACAGGTTGGCACAGCTGCTCTCCTCCACAGCTGTCTCTAGGCATCACAGTTCCAGCAACACCTGATTAGGCAAAACTAATCAATGGTGATAGAGGACAGAAATGTTGTTACCACTTGCGGGGGAAGGTGGGAAAGTTATTTCCCAAGAGGAGACAGGAGGGAGGCTTCTGGGATGCTGGTACAGTTCTGTTTCTTAATCTGATAGCAGATACATGGGTGTGTTTTTCTTTGTGAAAATTCATCAAGGTTCAGACTTAAGATTTGTGCAATTTGCATTATATGTGCTACACTTAAATTAACAAATTAAAAACTGAAATAAAGGAGATTATAAGGCCAAAATAAACAAATCAATGAAGCTGGAGCCCACAGCTCTTTGAGAAAAAGCTGCTTCTATACTGTACTCTACACTGATGATCCCCTAGACTCATTCTTGACCCCAAAGGGGACTTAGATGGTCAACGCATTTTATGGCCAAGGAAAGATACATAGGAAGGAAATTTTCTGGAACCATCTTGTTGAGCACGGCTAGGAGCACATCCTCTGTATCTGCTGTTACCTGCACATAGAGCAGTCTGTCCAGCCGCTCCTGATCCAGCTGCAGTTTCTCCTCCCGTCGCCGGGCATTGAGCTCCTGTAGCCGCCGCAGTTGCTGCTGCCGCCTTTCCTGTTTCTCCTCCGAGGTCAGGGTGCTGCCAAGGAGCTTGCTGGAAAATGGGAGCTGCATCTTGTGGACGTTGTTCTCGTAATAATCAGGGCACCGCCATTTCTGCAATTCTTCAAACAAATAATTTTGGAAGTTATGAAATGGATTATTAACACAAAAAGTAAAACGTCAATACCTGGGCTCCGCAGGGTTTACAATGGAGAAAACACACTCCACTCAGTCTCTGAATCCACTCAATTAACTAAATGTAGCTATAAAACCTGGATAATCACGCCAGCAGAGCTCTTCTAAAAGAATGGCTAAATAAAGTTCTTCAGATAGAAACGGCACCAGAAGGAGGCTTTGAACATCAGGAATGTAGGAAGAGCAATAGAAATGATGAAAATCTGGTTAAACATTAATAGATTAATCTCCCCATGAATTGTCTAAAATGTGTCTGACAATTTAAACTAAAAATCATAACACTGCCTAATGGGTTTCCAGTGTATGTAGCTGTAACATATAAGACAACTCCAACATAAACAGGGAAGGATAAAGGAGTCTATATAGTGCTAACAATTTTTATATTCCACTTGAAGTGGTAAATATTAATTCTGAGCAGACTGTGAAAAGTTATGTTTACTGTAATCTCTAGGGCAGCCACTAAAAA